GCAGCAGTCTTCAAGCAAGGATCAAACCCTGCTCTGCCACATATCTGCCAACACACTGAAGGTACCTGGAGTGGAAGTCAGATTTCTTCTCTGTTGCTAGGAAATCCTAAATCACTTTTTTATAGGGCCTTCTGAAATGAGGTCACGTAAATACCTGGCATATGTTAGACAAATGTTACCTGTTATTACGGAAAGCACTGTTTACTAAAATGTCAGCTTATTTTTCCAAGTCTCTTATTGAATTTATTACAATATGGCAATATGGCTCTGTTTCTTGTTTTTTTTCTTTTTTTTTTTGTTGGCCCTGAGGCTTGTAGGATCTTCGCTCCCTGACCAGGGATCAAGCCCACATCTCCTGCATTGGAAGGCGAAGTCTTAACCACTGGACTGCCAGGAAAGTCCCTAAAATACCAGTTCAAAAAACTTCTTATCCAGACAACATAATATTATTCTGTGCTGAAAAGAAATGAGCTTTATGAAAAGACATGGAGAAAATTTAAATTCATTTTAAGAAGCCAATATTAAAAGCTAGATACTGTGTGATTCCAACTATATGACATTCTAGAAAAGGCAAAGTTATGGAGGCAGTAAAAAGATTGGTGATTGCCAGGGTTTAGTGAAGATGGAGGGATGAGCAGGTGGGACACAGGATATTCAGGGCAGTGAAAACACTCTGTTTGATGCTATAAGGGCAAAGGCCCGTCATTATACGTTTATCTAAAGCCAATAGTCCACCCTGATGTAAACTATCAGTGTTAGTCGCTCAGTCATGTCCAACTCTTTGTAACTTCATGGACTATAGCCCACCAGGCTCCTCTGTGCATGGGATTTCCCAGGCAAGAATATTGGAGTGGGTTGCCATTTCCTCCTACAGGGGATCTGCTCCACCCAGGGATCAAACCTGTGTCTTCCTCATTGCAGGCAGATTCTTAACCATCTGAGCCACCAGGAACACCCTGAAAACTATAAATCTGGTGTTAACAATGTGTCAGTGGAGGTTCCTGGATTGGAGCGGATGTACCACTCTGGTGGGCAATGTTGACTGGGGGCTGGGGGAGGGGATTGGAGACTATATGAGAACTTAGTACTTTCAGATCAGTTTTGCTAATAACCTAAAACTGCTCTAAAATGAATTTGAGCAAACTCCAGGAGATAGCGAAGGACAGGAGAGCCTGGTATGCTGCAGTCCATGGGGTTGCAAAGAGTTGGACATGACTTAGTGACTGAACAACAATAAAACTGCTCTAAAATTAAAGACTATTTAAAAAAGATCCTCTTAGGAGAGGAATGGGACCTAAAATCAAACTTTTGGGCTTCCCAGGTGACATTAGTGGTAAAGAACCCGCCTGCCAATGCCGGAGACAGAAGAGACCCCGGTTTCATCCTGGGTCGGGAAGATCCCCGGGAGGAAGGCATGGCAACCCACTCTAGTATTCTTGCCTAGAGAATCCCATGGACAGAGGAGTCTAGCGGGCTACAGTCCATAGGGCCACAAAGAGTCGGACACGACTGAAGCGACTGAGCACACATGCAAAATCAAACTTTGAGACTAGGTATGTGAAGGGACTTCTTGGGGTGCTTAACTATAAGGAAAGATTATTTTCAAGTGCCCACATTATCAACAGTCTTCCCACCTCTTTTTCCAGAAGGGGTGTGTGTGTGTGTGGTGTTTGCACACTCTCACACATACCATTTCCTCCTGTGGTCTTGGAAGCACTGCAGTCAACTAGCGGGGATTAGCTGAGGCTTTGAGGCTTTGTCACCTCCAGACTCCGCCAGCCCAGATTTGTCCCTGGGCCCTCCATGCCAGCTTTGTAAGGAAATCTTACTGGGTTCTTTGGTTTGCCAACCACATGATCTAACAGGCAGCAATGCCAAGTCCAGTCCTCACTCTCCCAGGCAAGTTGCACAAGGCCTGGATTCTTTCCTGGGAGATCCTCAGGTCGAGCCTACTGCAGTGACTGAATCCCACCCAGCACTTTGCTCTCGCTGTGAAGCTTCTGCAGAAACAAGGCATTCACATTCTAATCTTGGCATTTCAAATTCAGGTGGACATTCTTGAATCCTTCTTCCCTGGGTGCTCATCAGCCCTGGCCTTTGTGTATTTGATTTCCAGTTATGGGCTCTGAGGTCTCTTCTTCATCCTCACTCTGACCCAACTTCCCCTTCTGCCTCAGTTGTAACCGTCTTCTTCCCTAGCATGATATTCTATTAAGTGATGCATAGAATTATGTTTTCTTTTAATTTTAAGTGGAAACTGCTACTTGGAGGTGAAAATCCATAAAAGGGCTCTGGGTATTCATTAAAAAAAAAAAATTTAAAGACCCTTCTATCTTACAATTAGTCCCCAAAAATGTGATTATATCATCTGGCATGGAACACGGTCCTTGGTGTTTTTCCTGAAGTGTGAGTTTAATTTACTGACTTTACATGTCTGGGGGTGGCACTTCTGGTAAAGAACCCGCCTGCCAATGTAGGAGACACAGGAGACATGGATTCAAGCCCTGGGTTGGGAAGATCCCCTGCAGAAGGGAATGGCAACCCACTCCAATAGTCTTGCCTGAAGAATCCCAAGGACATAGGAGCCTGGCAGGCTACAGTCCATGGGGTCGCAAAGAGTTGGACATGACTGAGCACGCACACACAACTGTATACATGTCTAATGTGGGTCCCAGATTTGAGCTAGTACTATAGCTCCTGTAATCATCCACATGTTCTCACCTGTGTGTAGTACCATATACAGATACTTCTACTGTATATATTTTGAGAATTTAATCAGCTAAGTATTTTTAATCAGGAGATGCCACAACTTCTATGAGAGAAAAGAATATCTGATTAGACTGCAAAAACTTTAGATTGTTTCTCTGCTACCTTTAAAGATTGATATAACCAACTAGAATGAATCATTTCCTCTCCCTCCCACCCATAAATAATCATTCTTTGAAAAATGGGTTTCCTGGGGTTCCTGGGATTCCTAGGGTTCCTGGATATATATCACTGCAACATTCATTCATTTAATAAAGCCATGTTCTTTTAAAGGACAAACCAACTGAGACTTGTGAATTTCCCCAAATTGGCAATGCAGTTTTAAAATAGTTCCTTTTGCTCCAGGCTGTACATTTTGAATAATGTGCAGATTATGATCCAATGTGACTTTGTTATCTGGTTGGTGAAAAATCCTAACAGTAATGTCACTTCCTCCAGGAAGCCCATCCTTATTCCGTCTCTTGAATGCACGTCACTAGGTCTTTTGGCACTCACCCTATTGGCTTCCTCTTTATCCCTACCTCCACGCTGTAAACCCTTCTTGTCCAGACATAATCAACTGTCAAGTTTCCCTCCATTGCTCACAGGACAGGCCTAGCCTGATTCATGACAAGCCTTCAACAAATACCAGTTAAAGGAACTGAAATGCCAAATGCAGAGAACGAACAGGAGGTAAACTTCCCTCTTCGACTCTGCTCGGGTTCTGACTGGGTTCTCTGCTGCAGATCCGCTCCCCTTTATGCTCAGACAGGTGGAATTAACACTAGGAGACAGGATGGCGTCTGGAGTAAGTACAACCACATATACAACATCTCCATGATCAGAAGGCAGGAGCCACACATTCAATGGGATATCCTACCAGGCAACAGGTGAAAACAGACCCTAGAGAAAATACCTGCTGCACTGTGGGGCTGTTTGCACCCGCTGTATTATTTCTGTAGGCCATTTGTTTTCTAAAAGATCATTTAAAGATTGTTCAGCTGGCTCCCAAAAGGGAGAAGGAGGAGGGAGCTGAAATCTCTTTCAAAGCAAGAAAGGAAGGGAGGTGACTTTAAATTCTGCATTAAATCCGGTTAAAAGCACATAACTTTATCCTTTAGTAGATATTAGTCATAGCCTCACTCTAAGGGCAGGGTGAAACCTACTTGCCCGAAGGAAAGGGAGGGGGTAGAAAAACAAAGCAACATAAAGTTTTCAAATGTTCTCCTTTTGGAAAGGGAGGGAGTTCAAAACCACAGCGTGCCAAATGCCTCCTCCTCCTCCTTGAAAAGCCCTACAAGCCTAAGAATAACAGCTTCTCGGGATGCGCAAAGCTCCTGAGGGCTGATTATTTTTCAGGAGGAGAATTAGACAAAAATAATGCAAGTGGGAAATAAAGAGAATGACCTACTTTACAGGGGGGAAAAGGGAGGTCTGCGCGAACGTTTTGATCTAATTGACGGTGCCGAGTTGCATGCCCAAATAAGGCGCTGTGGGTCGGGTCTGCGCTGGAGAGGGTTTGTCTTGAGCTCGGAGAAAATAAAGGCAGGGCCCTGGAGCCGAGTGGGGGGCCCGTCTGATGTTCTGAGAGGCCTGAGAAGATAGTGTGATGGGACAGGACTGGTGGAGGCACTTTCCTCTAATTGTACAAAGGACTCAGGGACATCCGAAAAAGGCTGCTGGGCTCCAAGCGCTGCGCCAGGCAACATGCCTCTGTGAGGTCCCAGGGGGGACCTCGCGGGGATGGGAAGCCTATCGCCTCTTTGGGGCTTCTTCCCTGGCGCCGAGGATGGACAGGGGTTTATGAGTCTAGAGGAGCCGGGACACCGTTCCGGGCCCCGGCGGGGCGCGTGGTCTCTCTTTCCCACCCGACTCTGTCTTGGAGCCCCGCAGAGGTTGCAGCAGCAGCTGCAGGCTCCGCGGGCTGATGATGCGCACGTGTCTGTGTTCGCTGTTTGCGGGAACCTTGCTGAATGCCTCCTTGTTTTCTCCTGCACGCCGCTCCAGCTTCTTCTCTTTTTTTGGATTCTCGCCTGTCTCCTCCCACAGAGAGGGAAAAAAAAAAAAAAGGTCACGTATGTTTGGAAAAATATGTAGGTCAGTGGAACATTTCCTGCACTGGTGCAAAAGGAGAGGAGGGCAGCGGGGGAGGGGAAGGAGCCGCAGCTTGGAGCTCCGGGTGCGCGCTCCTGGCCGCGGCCCCCAAGCCCTATAGGAGGGGCTCTTTTCCATCCTTGACCCATTTTCCGGACCAGCTACGTTCGCCTCGGAAGAAACAGTGATCGTTCCTCCCCAGCAGGCGCCGCGGTCCTCTGAGCTCGCCGGCGTCTCCCTGATCCCCGCCCGCAGCTCTTCGGGAAAGCGCAGTGGTCGGCGCGCAGGGCCGCCCCACGAGGACGGCGTGCTGGGGGCCGCGGTGGCGCGCTGGCCCCCCAACGCACTGGACCGCGGGGTGGCAGGGAGCAGGGGAGGGCGATTCCCCGCCGCCCCCACTGACAACTTGAACGGGACCTCCACTGGCCTCTCCTTCGGACAGTTCCCCTCTAAGCACACCCTGTCCCCGCCCCGCACCCTCGGCCGGACCATGCCGCGCGCCCCCGGCAGCAGCCCTGCAGTGGCGGCCTTGGGGCGCGGGTGTCTCGGCCGCTCAGGGAAGCTGGGGGGTGGGAGGTGGGTCCAGGGTTTCATCTGCTTGTAGGGACCGCAGGGTGCGGGTCCCAGGCTGGGTCGCGGCCAGGGTCCGGCGTGCGGCCAGGAGAGACCCGGCCGGCGGCGGCCGCGGGAGCGCAGGGAAGGAGGAGGAGGAGGAGGACCGAGAGGAGGCGGGAGGAGGGCGGGGGAGGAGGAAGAGGCGGCGGCGGCGGCAGCGGCGGCGGCGGCTCCTCTCCCCGCCGGCTCTGCGTGCGGAAGAGTTTGCCGCGCGAGCAGCCGGCCTCCCGCAGGAGCCTAGGGACGCGCGGCGGCGGCGTAGCTCTGAGACCCGCAGCCGCGGCGGCGGCGTCAGCAGCGAGAGCAGCGCCTCCCGCCAGCCCCGGCCCGCTCCGAGGTAAGGGCCGAGCCCCGGGACGCGGGGCCCCGGGGTGGGAGGGCGCGCGCGCAGGGTCGTGGGACTTGATCACCTGCCTGCCGCTGCGGTGGACGCACGGAGCAGGGAGGGACGCCCCGGCCCAGGACTGAGCTTCGCGGGGGGCCGGGGGCGCAAGGCTGTTGGGTCCCCACCGCCATCCCCTGGTCCTGCGGCGGGGACATCTAGTCCTGAGGGATCGCGGCGGCGGCCGGGCGGGTCGTCTCCGTGTGCGACTCGCCGTAGGAGGCAGAGGATGAGACACCCCGATCCGGGGTGCTCAGAGAGTACCGTCGGGGTGGGGGGAGGCCGTGCCAGGGTAGCAGCCTCGAAGGTCGCCTAGAGGCTTCCCTGAGCCCCATCGCGCGCTCTCCAGAGCGTGGGGCGCCGGGGACCCCCGAAGAGGGTGACATGCGCGCCCCGGGCCCACGATCTCGAGGGGTCCCTAGATCGGAATTGGTTCCGGGCCGTCATGGGTGCCGAGCCGGCCTCCTGGACACGCGTAGCCGGCCCTGCTCGCCGCCTCGCTCCCCAGGTTGGATGCCAGCGCCTTGTTTTGTTGGAAGGTGTGCTCCCTCCCCCGAGCCGAGGAAGGAGGCTTACCTTTGACCTTTCCAGAGATCCGCACGGGGCGGGTAACCTGGGGGTAGGGCCGTGTACCGAAAGGCCAAATTAAAAACCAACCCCTCTTCTCTATCTGCCACTCCTTAACTGCTTAAGGTAAGAAAGTTTGTTTTCAGCCCCGTGATTCATAAATAATTAGTAACCAGCTCTGTTGATTAAGCAAGATGGAAACCTTAAAAATACACACGCACTTCCAGAAAGTCTAAAAGCTTCCAAGGTTGTATCCGGGAGGGTTTAGTCCGCAAAGTTGAAAGCCCCTGGGTTCAACAGGTGTTCAGAAGGGGTCTGGAAAGAGAGAGTTCGGTGAGTTTGGTCTTTAGTGCCTACTCCTTTGATTCATTATATTGATTGGCCTGTTTCTTTACAGCAAAATATGGAGTAGTTATTAAATTAACGTAATTAGCAGAGACGAACTGGTCATAATTGATCATTTAGAACCGGAACCTTTTTTCCCTTAATAGGAGGGTTTTCCCCGTTTGGACTTTGCAGTTAATTAGTTCTAAGGCAGTTCCTGGCAGCGTTCAGCTCTGTCCATCCCTGTGTCTAGGAGGCACAAACTAACTCAGTCCCTGATCAGTGAATTGACCAACTCATTATGAGGTGCATTAAAAACACAGCAAGTTTTAATTGTTCTTCCTTGGGAGGTGCAAGTTCAAAATTCAAGGGTAAGTTGTAACTCTGGCTTTCTGTTCAGATGATTTCTTAAAGGCGAAGTTTGCCAAAAATTAACCCCCAAATGTATTTAAAAATAACTCTGCAATAAATATGATGTTTAAAAGAGCTATTCAGGCTTGGACCACTATTTTGCAAAAGCAAAAGATCTGTTTGATTACACAGCTAAAGCAGGACCGGTAGAAGTATTGGCGTTTCTCAGCAGTCTACTTAAAGATTTAGTTAAAAATAAAGTGTACGCAGCAAAGGCTTTCAATAATCGTCTTCCGTCTCACAGAGAGATGCGAAGTGTGGCTTAGAAGAATTGTAAGTATGCTGCTTTTAGCCATTTTCTCCTTGGAAATCGATGCATATATTTATCTGCTGATCTGTCCCACTGCAGCAGATGTAAAATCAGTTTGATTCTCACTGCTCCTGGTAGTGACTCCCATGGAGGCCAGAGAAGGGAATATATTCTAGAGGAAATATGTTACTAATAAAATGTTACCTCCCAAAGAGTTAAACATGCCCAGAAAAAAATCAAGTGAGGCTTCACTAATTAGCCAGTTGAAAAAAAAAAAAAATTGCCCGATTGGAGAAGTGAGTGTTCAGATGGTGGCTCAAGAATTCATCTTTCTGTAGAAAATAACAATTGTTTTTAAAGCTCATTTGATTCTTGTTAAGAGTTTGGGCCCTTTTTACTATTTCTGGCTATGTAATAATGAAAATGATAAACAAAATAATAAAAATAGTTTAAAATGACTCATATCATCTGTTATATGTCATGATGAAGTTGAATTCATCTTATTTTTTGGAACAGTCTTTCTTAACTCTTGGTAATCTTTATAGCTGGCTTGTTAGTACTGCTACTAGTTTTTAGGTTACACGTTCAAAATTAGTGATTTCTTTCAGATTAAAATAACAATGCATACATATGCTCTTTATATCTTTATATGATCCTTTATAATATAAATAGATGGGGAAACAGTAGAAACAGTGTCAGACTTTGTTTTTTTGGGCTCCCAAATCACTGCAGATGGTGACTGCAGCCATGAAACTAAAAGACACTTACTCCTTGGAAGGAAAGTTATGACCAACCTAGATAGCATATTAAAAAGCAGAGATATTACATTGCCAACAAATGTCCGTCTAGTCAAGGCTATGGTTTTTCCAGTGCTCATGTATGGATGTGAGAGTTGGACTATGAAGAAAGCTGAGCGCCAAAGAATGGATACTTTTGAACTGTGGTGTTGGAGAAGACTCTTGAGAGTCCCTTGGACTGCAAGGAGATCCAAGCAGTCCATCCTAAAGGAGATCAGTCCTGGGTGTTCATTGGAAGGACTGATGCTGAAGCTGAAACTCCAATACTTTGGCCACCTCATGCGAAGAGTTGACTCATTGAAAAAGACCCTGATGCTGGGAGGGATTGGGGGCAGGAGGAGAAGGGGACGACAGAGGATGAGATGGTTGGATGGCATCACCGACTCGATGGACATGAGTTTGAGTAAACTCCAGGAATTGGTGATGGACAGGGAGGCCTGGCGTGCTGAGATTCGTGGGATCGCAAAGAGTCGGACACAACTAAGCAACTGAACTGAACTGATGGTCCTTTATGTGGTCCTCAGTATACCTATATATGGTCATTTCTTGGAAGCCTGGCTTTTGAACCTTAAGCCTCTAGAGGGCTAAGTCCTTTTTCTTAATTTTTAAAACAAGCATATATTTTATTCTTTCCATGAAAAGTTGGCTTTTCCATGGTGATCCGAGCACTGACTGTCCCATGCTGATCTCAAGCACTGAGTGGCATTTCTTTCCCAGGAGAGGTCAGATTGTGAGGTGCTGAAAATAGCCCAGTAACACCGTATTCTTGGCTTTCTTATGGCCACGTGGCTGCATCAAAGAAGCATCTGAAGGAATTTTGCATGTAAGTAGTGACAATGATACACATTACTTGCTTACAGAAATGTTTGACTAGCAGGTTCCTGATCTTTACTCTCTGTGTAGCAAAGATAGGAGGCCACATTCATATTCCATCCAGCATCTCATCCCTAGGAGGCCTTGTTCATCACTGATGCTCAATAATAAGTAGGTGTAGGAAACAGGCTGACTTGTGGATGACAGTTATCCAAAGGGTAGAAATTGCTGAATGCTAATGGGGTACTTAACTCTGAGTAATTCTAGTTTAATTCTGAAGATGATTAATAGCACCTTAGATCACTAAATAAACACTTATTAAATGTGAACATGTTTAAAGGGGGAACGTCTTTAATGCAGTCTTTAAGACACTACTGTTTCTCACTGAATTCTTTGAGGTTGGGGACCACTGGCATTTTAAGCAATCTCTTTGGGGAAGTTCCCCCAGAGATCACTTGAACTTCTGTGGGTCATAAGATAGTGTGTCATTTTCCATAAGATGATTCAGAATAGAAACGAGACTTTAATCTTCTATGTTGATGTGAAACAAAGCACAACAAAAATGTATTTAAAAAGAGGAGGGTACAGAAAGATGGTATGTCAAACTTTATAGTGTAGAGTAGCATTGATCGTCTGGGGACCTTGTGAAGGGCAGGTGCTGACTCAGCAGGTCTAGGTTGGAACCTGAGAGCCTGCATTTCTTACAAAGCTCCCCCGTGCTCCAGAGATGACACTCTAGAAGGTTCTGGAATATTCTCAGTCCAGTTCAGCCTGTGTAGCATCTACTGCATAGGAGGACCAGGTGATAGAAAAAGAAAGAACATGGGTCCTCCCTGCCCTCAAGGAACTGACACTGAGGAAGAGAGAATCTCTCTAGACGGAACTGAGGCTCTGGGACACTATTCTGCAGTGTGGTGGCAGCCTGAGAGGGGCCCAGCAAAGAGGTTTTTTCTGGTAGGGCTCCCATGCTGGCCACCCTTGACCTCTAGTTTTCATTGAGAAGCTCTGTGACTCACCAGGAAATAAAATGCAGATACTGAAATCAGACAGATCTGTGGTAGCCTTCTTGCTCAGCTACCGTGTGACTTGGGGTGACTTTTACTTTAACCTTCCTGAGCCTCAGTGTCCTGGTTAGAAGAATAGTGGGAATAACGCTTACCTCATCAAGGTAGGTAGGATGACCAGTGAAGGAGACACATCAGAAATAACAGAAAAGTGTGTGTTAGTCACTCAGTCATGTCTGACTCTCTGTGACCCCCTGGACTGTAGCCTGCCAGGTCCTCCATCCATGGGATTCTCCAGGCAAGGACACTGGAGTGGGTTGCAGTGTTGCTTTTATTACTGCTGATGGGAGAAGGGAGGCTTGCTAGGCATGGAGGAAGAAGAGGTTCCTAAAAATATTTTTGCACGTAGTTCAGCAATTAGAGATTCCATTTGGTTAATCAGCAAACCCAGGGCTGGCAGGAGAGAACCCGGCCTGGGGCTGGAGGGCGGGCAGCCATGCAAGGTAATGGATGCAAAATGGGATGGTGAGGAGCACCCACATCTCCACTCTTCTGCAGGACCCCGGCTTCTGGTGAGCCCTGATGATACCCTTCTAGCAATATATTTACCTGAGGCTGTTCCTGGCACTCAGCCTGTAGGTTCTGTTGATCAAGACCGACTGGTGGTAGTGGTAATCAGGCACGCCTTAACAATATGTTTCGTAGGGAAGGGCATTGGTGTATCCCTTGCTGGGCTCTTTTAAGGGTCAGAGCCATTCATCAGCCCTCTTCAGTTTAGTGGGAGTTCCC